ACACACAGACAGACAGACAGACGCACAGACACACAGACACACAGACACACAGACCGACCGACCGACAGACAAACAAGTTAGGCCAATTAAGTACACATATACTGCTCTGTGCGTGCGTGTGTATGATTTGTACTTGTTTGTTGGCTTAGTTTATTAATCCTTTGTCCTTTATGTCGTTTGTATCCTTTTGCTAAGTATGTCCTGGAAAACCCCATCGGGACAGAGGAGGCAAAGCCCAAAACGGAGGTTCACTCCATTTCTTAAGGCCCCGAGGTTTAGGGTTTACTAACCCCAATAGCCCTCCTGTACATTCATGGGTTTAGGGTTTAGGCTTTAGGGCATCAGGTCCGCCAAATCATAAACTCAAAGCACAAGGGCTATACAATTCGAACCTGACCGAATGCGGGCTTGCAGCATGTTGTCCAAACTTTTGAAGCTTTGGCACATGGGAGCTGTTCTAATTGGATGCCACATTGTGCCAGAGCAACTTGCACGCTAAGACTTTAACAGGACTGCGGCCTGCGATGAACTTGCAAGCTTTGTGGGATCTGCACCGCCTGCAAGGGCGTGTCGGGCATCTGTTCTTGGAAGATTGCATTTTAGGGTTTGGAGTTTAGGCTGAAATATGTCTTAATGTAAAGCCGCAGCCTATTTGTCCAAAGCTTCGTGTCATTCCACAGAAGCCTGCCTTAAACCCTAAACCCGGAGTCCACCCTCATCCGAGAAGCCGAATTGCAAACCCTCTGGCCACGTTTCGATTTCTTGCTGAGGCCTTGTCTGTTCGTGAAGAGAGCTCTGCGGCCCCCCTACCAGCTTAGTCATCTTCCGTCGGAACTCACCATTGAGGACTCAAGATCTCTGAGTAATGTAGCGGCCTTCATAATTAGAATAGGGTTTTGGAGCCCAAAATACTATAATTACAATAAGAAACCACCAAAATAGTGTTAGTAATTATTTAGGCCCCTACATTAAAGTCTTCGGGCTTGGGATTAGGATGCAAGACTCAAGTGTGCGTGCTGGAAGACGTGGGGTTCTAGTCGAAGCTTTGCGACCGCTGTTCAGAGGGTTTCGGGTTTAGGGTTCAGGGGGAGGTGCGGGCGAAGACTTGACAGGGGACAAGGATTAGCTTCAGTTGAGCTAGTAGGAATCGGATCAATTTGAACCCTAAACCCGAACCCCTAAACCCCAAACCCCAAACCCCAAACCCTAAACCCCCAACCCTCAAACCTAAACCCTTAACCCCAAATTGGCTGCAACTCCGCCCTGCCTCGGTTGCACCACGACGCTGCTGACCCCTGCGAGTTGAGGGCACGCTGTAAGCTCCATAAAGGGGGATTTCGGGTTTAGGGTTTAGGATGTCGGGTTTAGGGTTTAGGGTTTAGGGTTTAGGACCCCGAATCCTTCGCTGATCAACCCAAAGCTCTGCACCTCGAACCGAAGATTTGAGAAGACAGGGGAGGGCTTGACGGAAGCCTTTCCCTTCGTTGGCTTCTCGTTTTCCGGACGGAGGGTTCGGAAAAAGGTTCATTCATGGCTCCTCGATCTGATTGCTTTAATCTCTAGACCCGGGGTTCAGGGGCTAGCATTACAAGAAGCCTCAAACTCGTATCCTCGATGTCAGGCAAGTATGACCGGGAACATCTGTCACCAGTGTTCGTTTATGGCCGAGAGGTGGCGGGATGTGTGCTGTTGAGGCCTGAGGTTGAAAGATCAGCTACGGTGATGGGGGGTCATGAATTTGAGGTTGTACGCAGAGTACGACAATTGCGGTCTCGGTCTGAATGATGAATCTTGACTTCCCAATTGAGGCCTTCAAATAGCGCCTTCAGCTTGATCAAAGCGGATGTGCTCTGCACCGTGCCTTCATACAGATTATATGAGCAACTTTTTGCACGGCAGCGGAGAGATGTGAGAACATTCCGTCACGGTCGACGGGTGGATGAAACCACTACGGGCCACCACAGTGGACATGAGCTCATCTTCTGCATCCTAGGACAGCACAGGAGGAGCCGTTGATGACCTGCGTGCGGAGACACCTGCAGCTGAGCACAGTTTGGGTCTGCTTAAGGCTTCGACCCTACTCCAGACTCCCGGATTCAGGCTCCCAACAACGGGCATCAGGCCGGGCTAGTCTACTTCAGCCGGTGTCGCCTACATCATCGCCCCAAAACCTTAAACCCCTAAACCTAAACCCTAAACCTTAAACCCCGAAACCCCAAACCCTAAACTTCTAGTCTAAACTCTGGCAGTTCGAGGCTCTTCATGAATCTGGAATCTTCGGTGCCCTGGCCCCTTCGAAGTCTAAGACTTTGAGGCTGCCTCGAGCAGAGGGCAGCTGAGTAGAGCCTTTGAGGATTCAGACTTCTCAAGCAAACAATCAATCAACAAATATATGAACAAGATCAAGCCGGGAACCCAAAAACCAACGGAACATGCACATGAGTTGTAGACGTCGTAGCAATAGCGCAAGGGAACATATATAAATGTGCCCATGTGATGCATGGGCCTGACGAAACTATACATGGCCATCTGAATCTGTACCCTCGCCAAGGTATGAATGTGTCCGTCATGCATGGAGCTGACCAAACTCTACATGGGGTTGTATAATAAGCCCGTATTCTTTTTCATATCCCTGGACCCATGTCGCTAAATACTTACCATGAACTGGTAGTACGGACGCCTGCCCCCGTCCCCACCCATGCACCGTTCCCGTGTACCGTTATCGCTCTCTGCCCCTTCCCTACACCCGCTCCCTGCACCGCCATACACCCGTGCACCGTTCCCGTGCACCGTTACCGTGCACCGTTCCCGCTCTCTGCCCCTGCCCCTTCCCTACACCCGTGCACCATCCCCATGCACCGTTATCGCTTTCTGCTGCGCCTGGCCCTTCTCTATAGTCCCGTGCACCGTCCCCGTGCACCCCCACCCGCGCACCGTTCCCGTGTACCGTTATCGCTCTCTGCCCCGTCCCTATACACCCGTGCACCGCCTGCACCTCCGCATACCCGTGCACCGTCCCCGTGCGCCGTGATCGCTCTCTGCCCCGGACCCCTTCCTGCACCTTCCCGTGCACCCGTGCACCCTCCCCGTGCACCGTTATCGCTCTCTGCCCCGGTCCCCTCCCTGCACCTTCCCGTGCACCCGTGCACCGTTCCCGT